CGCCATGCTCTGCAGACATCTCTATAAGACTAAGAGCATCTGTTAGCAAACTGAAAACAAAATACTAAAGGTTATATTTCAGCTCTCCAACGTAGTGAGTATTTTATTTATGATTGTTAGTTTAAAACAATCACTGCAGGGTAGTTTGGCTCTCGGCAAAGGCAGTCACACTTTTTCTCCTCTCCTCCTTTCCCTTCCCTGCTTATATGTATATATGCTTATATGCTTTATCTTCCCTGCTTAGCCTCTTGTGTCCTTGTCTTGTGTTTTTTACTTTTCCCTGGAACACTCTCTCACAGTCTGTTCTCTAAACCTAAAAGAGAATTATGGATTTGATCAACTGGTCTCTGAATGCTATTGACACCCTTTTCTCAATGAGAAGTCTGGGCTCGGGAGAGCCCAAGTGCCCTGGAGGGACTTTCTACACGATGGACGGGTGGCAGAAATGGAGGATCGTGTGCCTGGCGGGACTGTTGATCGAGGACGCTGAAGATATCTACCTATTCTGAACCATGATAACAGGGTTCTTGCTGATCGGAGCTGGCTTGGCCCTGGCTTATCGAAGAATTAAGAAAGCGGAACTGGCTGTTCAAACCCCCCCAAGGCTGCCCGCTGGGATTGAAACGATGGGACAAGGTGTGACTTCTCAGAATGGGCTCATTGAGTGCAGCATGGTTAAGACCTTGGAGAAGCTTACGGCTGCCGTGAATACTCAGAATAACACCTCTGAGCGGAAGTTGCATTACATCTTGGAACAGCTCACTGCAGTCATGAGGTCTCAGAATCGGCTCTTTGAGCACAAGAATGACAAGACCACGGAGCGCAAGTTTGATAACATCATGGAGAAGCTCACGGCTCTCCAACGGGAGATTGAGAGACCAGTGTCTGAGTGTTAAAGAACAGCTTTGAAATTCTCATGAGTTTTTCGCACAAAAGAAAAATTACCATCATAATGCAGCTACCCCTTCGGCGCCAGCTGTGGGCTCAAGGCTGGAGCTGAACAAAACTCCCTGATAACGACTGTGTTGAGTCTGTTCCTTCCCATTCCCTACAAGGCCACCTGGGTTGGCTGGAGGACTGTTTACTTAGCCTGATAGGGTGAAGGACACTGTCTCAGCTGAACTCTGGACACGCACACACACACATACACTTACACTGATAAGCACTCACTCATCCCCCTCCCCTTCCAACGCCTTTGATGCTTGTATCCTCCTGGGGAACACGGGCGGGTCTGGGCCCGCGTTGGAGAGACGGCGCAGTGGCAGGATGGCTGCTGTGTTGCCTGGGATTACTCCTTATCCCCTACCCAACCCTGTTGCTGATCACGTGCTCTATAATGTTGTACTGTGGACATTTATGTGCTTTCTGTGCAGAGGAGTTTTTTTGTTTCCTGTTCTCATGCTGTCCTCCTATAGCCCAGCATGAGTAGAAGTCTCTTTTTTTCCTCTTGTACTTTCCTATTGTAGTGTACATTTCAGTGGTTTTTCTGTAATGCAACCGTTCTCTGACTTGTATCCCCATGTGATGTCTGTGTTGTGTGTGTAAGGTCGGGGGGCGGGTTCATTCCACTGCAGGGCAACCTGCCACTCCATGTGGCGAATAAAATTTGAACTTGAACTTGAATTTGGTGCAAAAAGTCTAATCCCAGAGTTCCAGGCTCGTCTCTTATAGAGAAATTTATGGATGGTTTTAGCATCTATAACAACTCAGTGTCCCCTTTAATAAACTCTTAGTGAAGTTGTTCCTTTGATCTCAAGGAAATCTCCAAAAGAACAGGGCTCTGCAGATGTAGCCAGCTGTTCGTTTTCTCCCATTTGTTTTGAAATTTTATTTTCCTTTGTCATGTTCCATTTTACCCAGGTGGCCTGGGTTCAACTCCCGGTACGGGAATTGTCTTTTTTTACTGAGATCTGTGAAACTGAATTTTGTGGAAGAACTGGCCTGGCAGAGGGATCAAGCTTGAAAATATGTACTGCAGGTTAGGGGTGCCTAAGGCCCGAGGTGAAACTGGACTAATAAGTAAAGAGAGTCTATCTAAAAAGTGCAAGGAGTAATTTGAGAAGCTCATGAATGAAGTGATGAGAGAAAGAAGTGAATCAGGAAAAGAATGAAAAGTGCAAGAACAGTTGTTTAAATGCCATAGGTATGGGGATATGAAGGAGAGAGGGCCTGCAATTTTTATATATTTTTTTTCAGCCTTTTACTGGCTTTATTAGACAGATACAGTGAAGGCTAACAAGAAAGCTGAGGGGGAGACATGGAGCAATGGGTCGGACTCAAACCCGGGCCAGCCGCTCGCAGCCATGCAGCGTATGGTCACCTGTTCGTCCAACTGACCTAAACCAGCACCCAGGGTCTTCAATCTTTGATTGTAGACTAGCTAACCATACTGGATCAAATATTGGTAACGCTAGCTGAAATTATGAAAAAAAATGTCAAATATTAGTAGCTAGCTAACACTACATCTTGCAGTGGGATGTGTTGGTTTAAAGTTGAAATAATTAATAATTAAAAGGTAAGATATTCAACTTAAATCATTATCTAAAAGCATGAATAACAAATAGAGTTATTAGCTAATCGTAAAAACAAACTGGGACAGCTAAACATAACCAACAGCTATTAAACTGAGTCGTAGAATCAATTTGTGGATAGATTTCTAAAATAGTAAGCCCATAGTTAGGGGGAAATACTGGAAACATTTTTCTAACCATAACTCAAAGTAGTGCAGATTGAGTTTAAAAGAAGTTCAAATGAAGATATTTGTGAGAGGTGGTGTTAATAAAGTTCATAATTGAGTCAACCTGAAGGACATTATAAACAAAAAGCTGGGAGCCGTTGGTCTACACACAGTGTGCGATGGTGGGAGTGAATCGTGACTTGACCAAGACCGCTGGACAGCCTCTTTACTCAACTCTATTTACATTCATGAGTTATTTGGACATTCACAAAAGTAAAATGTACTTTTAATGCGGACAAATTCATCCTTCTGGGCAGCGTGTGTGCAGTCGATTGCAACGATTGCATTAGGGGAGCCGCTACGACTCCAAATTGCATTTTGATGTTGGCCCGGTCGCCAGCAGTCCGAGAGAAAACGATAGATCTTGCACTTACGCCTGCCCACACTTCTGGCATTACACAGCTAAAAGGGGACCGAGATGCGCGACCAGTCTGTAAAACAGTACTGTTGCCTGTAGAGCTTTAAAACTCGGAGCTGCTTCTCCCCTCGGTATCTCCGTTCTGAAACAGAGCCCAGGGCAGCAGACACTTTTAACACAAGCGCTCTTTGAAATCAAAAACGGCACATTAGTCAGTGTTATTATCATAGGTCAAAAAAACAGCTCTGTCTCAAAGGATGCCTCTCACCTCAGGCTTTTATCAGCAGTATCCTCTAACAGCACCAAAGCACCACTATAAACATCCATTACACACTGATATATTTCTACAGATCCAGCTCTCATTTAATATATTTAATATGTTATTCTACAGCACCTTATAGTTATTTACTTTCATTATCATAAAAGGAGCGTGTTCACGTACAAACCACCAAATGTGTTTTCAGTTACCCGTGAGGAGATAATGTTGCATTTTCTAGCTATGATTTATGATTATTACTCTGAAAATGACCCTCTGTGTTTCCAGGTAATGACTCCGGCTCTGAGCATTTAAAGTAACTGAACGCTAAAACTGGGTGGAAAGTGGTGTTGTTTCAGGTTTAATTAATCATTACCTTAAAAACATCATTAGATACAGCTTTAGTTACTCGATGCATGGAGTGAAAAATGCTGTATACAGAACCAGAACATTAATACAACCTGCATGAGATTCCAATCAGTAGATTCAGCTTTGTGCCTCCAAATGTCTCTGACACCTGCTGGGGCGTGGATGTGGGACCTCTGGGGATTTTCTGAGGTGTCTGGCATCATGGGGTTTGCAGTGAATACTCTGGGTTCTGTTGCAGGGCGGAGCTTCGGCTAACCAGGCTCATTTCATTGCATTCCAAGTATGTTTGGTCAGATTGGCATCTGGGGAGTTTGGAGTGAAAAAATGTGGCTCTTTGTTATCTTCCTTGAGCTCTTCCTCGGCAGTTTTTTGCAACGTCACACTGTATATTATCCTGCTGGGCGATGCCATTCCTGCCTGGTGCTTTTGGAGTGTATATTAGGTTCATGTCAAACTAACATTTGCTTGAATGTCAGGTCCAGCAGTTCCCCAGCATACCACTGTTTCAATTTACATTCTAACTCATTGGTATTCATCTTTTGCCTGTGTTGTGCCTGTGTAATATAACAACACTACAAAGACAAATCCTAAAAATTGCCCTTATTGTTCATATTTTGTTCCCATTCACTCTTCTAACACTCTTAATAACATTTTAATGGTCATCCAGCTCCACATTTATATTACTGGACTGCAGCAGAGTAGCTTTTTTTGGACGTCCTCTGTACAAAACAAGTTGTTTTAGCTCCTCTTCCTTCAAGCCGTCTTTTTTCTGATGGGCAGTGCCTCACAGTCAAAATATTTGGTGAAATAGGTGGTGCTTCTGTGCTTACAGAAGACCTGAGAAGACCACACAGAACCTAGAGTAGAGAAGGAAAACTATCTGAACCCAAGGCAGAACCACAATCATCTTTAGGGTTTGTGGAGAAAACATCCAGTCAGCAGCAGTAGTGAAGATGCATTGTTGATGCCAAAGGAGAATGGCAAGACTGGCAAGAAAGGCAACAGCAAGTTTAATAACAATTTGTCACAACCAAGGTCTGCAGAAGAGCATCTTGAGCTTTGAAGCAGATGAGCTACAGCTACAGAAGACCACACAGGATGCCACTTCTGTCAGCTAAGAACAGAGGCTACAGTTCACATGGGAAAAAATATATGCCATGCAGCCTTTCTTTTTAATAACCTAGAAAATGAGGGAGGGGCATGCACCAAAATGTTCCCACAAAATATTACAAATGAAAGATGTTCAGACATTTCTCCTGCTACCCTCGTTCTTTCTGTAGGCGTGTCAATGCCCATTCCAGTGATTGGCCTGCACAACAAGGACAAGGTCTTCGTCAACGGCAGCTGTGTCCTCAACGAGGAGCGCTTCGTGCTGATTGGCTCCTTTGTGGCCTTTTTCATCCCGCTCGTAATCATGGTGGTGACATACTGCCTCACCATACAGGTAGGGCTTTTTTTCGTGTTTGTGCGATTGCTCTTCTTTGCAACATGCATCTGTTGTAATGTCTTTACTTCATCTATGTCCCCTCCCCTTCAGGTGCTTCAGAGGCAGGCCACAGTCTTCCTGTATGAGGCAAAGACTTCTTCCCAGCAGCCTTTGCACACACCAGCAATGGGAAATACATTGCAGCCTCCACCCAGCACCTTCCACCTTCCTCAAATCAATACACTTGCTCCTCCAGACTCACAAGGTAAACACCTACCAGGACTTTACTGCACCTGTATGTCAGCAGGAAAATCTCCCACTAACTTAACCAATGAATTTATGGTAAATACATGAATTTATTCTTGAAAGTATTAGCAAATAACACACAACCACAGACACATAATTATTGTTAGTGATTTTTTTTTCATGTATTTTATGCTGGTATCCCAGCTTGTTTTCCTTTCTGAAGGATTTGAATCACTCTATAAGTATTAAACCCTCCAGCAATTAAACCAAGAAGAAGCACAAAACAAATTGATGGATTTTTATTTTGCCACTCTTGAAATGTTTGAGTCATACCGCCTAAGCATGGCATATTTCAATTTATGTTTTAATAATGAAGAAGGCCTCCACAGCAGCTCAGCACCAACAGTATGCTTCATTGCACACACCCTAGGTTTCTTATTCGACTTGATCTTTAGCTTCAGGGCCTTCAACACTTTCATTATTGGCATGACAAGACTGTACAGATGCAGATAATCAATTTCTAATTAACATAAGGTAAAATTATGATACTGGAGGTTCCTCTGTAAGTGATGTGTGTCTGTGCTCTTTCAACATATCCCTGTGTTAAGACACATAACAAAGCTCTTCACTTTAAGTAGCTCCATGTTTGATATGGGAAAGTTTGAAACCCAGCCTCTGAGACTCAAGCATGTGGATCCATCACAAGTAAAGCAGCAGCTAAAAGAATCAACTATTCTGACTGTACAACAAGTTTTTACCCTGTTTGTCAAATCATGGCCTAGAAACTAGAAACATGTTTGGGATATTTTTATTTTTTCAAAATTAGGATGGCCATTGTTTCCCTATTTTGTGGTACTCTGTCCTGGACGTCGCTCTATCAGAGAGTTGTCAGGACATTTTCTGGCTCAGGTGGGTGAGCATGACTCATCGGTGTACAGTAGAGGCAATGGGTCTATCACCCTACTTTACAAAAATCTATAGATCTGCCTGTTACGTCTGATTGTATTGATTGATCCCCTAATTGAGTCTGTTTACATTTATTATGAACAGAAGTAGCAGAAGGGTCCCACTTCAGTGACCTCAGGATCTCGTCTCTGCTTTTTGTGGATGATGTGGTTCTGTTGGCTTCGTCAGGCGGTGGCCTCCAGGTCACACTGGAGCATTTTTTTTTAGCTGAGTGTGAAGCGGCAGGAATGAGAATAGTGAGGAGGGTACACTCTGGGTCAGGGATGAGTTGCTGCTGACGAGTTTTGCCGTGGGCTTGTTCACGAGTGACGGGGAGCGGGAGATGGACAGACGTAGTGTGGCGGCATCAGCTGACTCCACTCCGGATGCCTCACATTGCACAGTGTAGGGAACAGCAATGATTTGCACATGAATGTTTAGGGAGCGCACAATTTGCTTTCGGTTTTAATCAATTTCATTGTTGCTCATTTAATTATGGAAAGTCAAAAACATGATTGATATTCAATTAACTGTGCAGCTGTATCCTTTTTTTTATCACTTATGTGAACGTCGGCTGTTTTCACACAAATATGTGAGCTAAGCACTCAAACAGGTTGAACGACTTTGGTCTGGTCACAAGGGTGGATACAAAGAGCCCCTTCTCTCTTATGTGATGAAGCAGCTCTTGGAAATAGCTTCAGATCACAATCCTGGCATCTTCAATCCATTTCACGTCTTTCGAAGCCTGCAGGCTATCCAGGCTGAAGGCAAAAGATCAACCTATCCCGGAGGAAGGGTAGACCTAAACCTACAGGGTGTACCTGATGTAACAAGTCTGCTTATCTTTCAACTTTTGATATCAGGTATTCCCTTATTAAATGCATCTGCTCTCTAAGTTTAGTTATGCATGAGAAAACCCATAACAGATGTTTTTCAGGTTTATGATACTAGAAATAATGAGCTTGGTCTACACCTCTGTACAAGACAAGTGCTTCTATAATTACTGTATGTTCTTGAAGCACATAATTACAGGATTCCCAGAGGGATTTCTCGATACCTACGAGTTTGTATTGTCATCGTAAACCACGTGTTGCTCAACGGGTATAACAGAAGGACAAAGCTTTGCAAAAAAGTTTCTCCAGCTCCGAGCACTTACAGTGGGTAAGGCGAAACAGAAAAAAAACACACTTCCTCAGCTGTTTCCTGAGATGTTGTTGTGCTGCTGAGAAAACAGCAACTATCTGATCTGATCGGTTTGGGCGCCACTCAGACGTTTCCCATTCCAGGCCAAGCCTTGGCTTCTCCAGTTCAGATAAAATTGCATGATACTACACTCTCTGCCCATTTTCCATCTTATCTTCGCTCCAATCCCAGACACAGAAAATTGAAAATGAAACATTCAGCTCGTGCCTTAACTTTTCATCTCGCCTCTACCCTACAAAACATCAGCTGCAGTGCTAATAGAAAACTTGACATTCTTTCATTGGCTGGCTGTACAAGCAGCAGTTTTCTGGTTGACACATAATGATAACATGTGCGAGTCCAGCCATTCAGCTTTCCTCTAAAACATTTTAAAGGCAAAAGTTTGAAATTTAAATGGTTGTTTTTTTGCCCCTTGCTCAGAGTTGAAGGTCCCGCCTCCTCAAAGCAGACGAAACACCTTGAGCTGCCTGAAGGGCACAGAGCCCAGCATTCTGCTCAGCGCCTCCACCTCAGATAGCATCAGCATCATTCCCAGCTCTGAGGTGGCGTCCCAGCTCAGCTCGCCGGCAGCTGGACCGGGCCGGAGCGATGCGTCAAGTCACGGTCGCCGGGGGATGATGCAGGCCATAAAAAATGAGAGACGGGCCTCGAAGGTGAGAATAAAAAGATTAGTAGGTGTAATCAGGGGGTAAATGATAAATGTGCAGTCATGATCAAAATAAGTACACCCTCTCAAAGTTGTAATGGTTTACAAATCAGGACATTAAAAAATATATATTTGGTCTTAAACACAACCTGAGATGAACAACAACTGAAGTCTGTAGAGTCTGCGAGTCTGAGATCAACCTCTATAAAAGCAGATGTTTTGACAGTTTTCTGGTCTAGACCATTCAGATGTGCGATAACTTAATGCTGTAATCTTCCCAGGAGAGACCAAGCAAATTGTGTCATGCAACAGGACAATGATCCCAAGAATAGCAAAATCCACACCCCAACAATTTCAATTTCGGAATGCTTTGGTGGAAAAACCTCTAAAGCTTTCAAACAAAAGGCTTTTTAACTTGGTCTTACTTTGGTTGTGCTGTGTTAAAATTAAATAAAGTTACCATTAGGTTAAAAAAGTGATTCCTGAGTAATAATCCTGAGGCGTACACCATCAGCGGTGTAGTCAAAAACATTCAAATAGTGCTCAGTACTACTTAGACTACAAGTAAATACTTAAAAGTGTGCCACTGTTTGACCACTAGGGGTCAGTGTACGCAGCAAATTGGATGTGTTTGCCATAAGGTTGCCTTATTCAGTTGTTATAGCATACTGTAGCCTTTTCGGATTAGCATCCAAAGTCTGAAAACGATTCTTATTCTTTTTTTCCTCCTCTTCCTTTTCCCCCTCTCTCTTCTTCTAGGTTCTAGGAATCGTCTTTTTCCTCTTCCTCGTCATGTGGTGTCCCTTCTTTATCACCAACGTCACCTTCGTCTTGTGCAGCAACTCCTGCAATGAGTCACTGCTCCATGACCTCCTCAACGTCTTCGTCTGGGTGGGTTACATCTCCTCTGGAGTCAACCCTCTGGTCTACACCCTCTTCAATAAGACCTACAGGAGAGCGTTCTCCAGCTACATCAGGTGCCAGTACAAAGTCGGGGCCAACGCAGCCGGCCAGGGTTGCAAAACCCTCCTCGTCCCGCCGCCATGCCCTTCACACGCCGTGACTCCTCTTCTTATGGGCGATCACGGGAAGGCAGGTGTGGACCGCAACAGTAACTGTCGCAATGGCGGTAGGGGGGATAACGGGAGGCTCGCAGTGGACCCGGAGGACACGACAGACGATGGGACGCAATTCGGAATAACCTCGCAGAGCATTTCGGAGTGCCAGAACATTTGCATGCTTTCAGAAACAGAGCCGGAAACGGAGCTGGAGCCGGAGCTGGAGCCGGAGCTGGAGCCGGAGCTGTCACTCATCAGCTACAGCCCTGCCCCGAGAGAACACACAAGCAGCGTGTGACTGTGTGCATCCGGTCAGTTTTAGTCTTCTGCAACCTGCAGATGCTGTTCCAAGCAGGGCTGGTGCTTGGACACGACAGCTTTTCTACTGGTTTCAACTGTAGTGAGGACTCTTACTGGGAAAAGGACTAGTCTCTGCTGACAAGCCTTTTTCTCCGTACTACGTCCATCAATGTGGAAAGAAATTGGAAGAGTTAATATTTCGGGTTGGAAAGGTAGAATGAAAACCAATATTTCCAGTGTGCTCGTTTTGTAAATGTTGGCTTTCATAACATTAATAGAAAACAAAGGCATCCACCAGGCCTTTACCTTTACATCTAAGCACTCATCAGTGGCAAGATGTGGGGGCTCCTCATGGCATGACAATACCAGCTGAGATCCACTGAAAGGGATTAAGTGAAGAGGTCGGTGGAGAGCCAGCTCTCGTCAACCTAGCATTAAGTCAAGTGGCCCTTCACGGAGTCCCACAGACGCAGGTTACAGAGTCAAGCACCAACCGGGAGGCCACTCGGGTCAAACTACGCCTTCAAGCCTTCACACAGAGTCGAAATGCAGTCAGAGCTCGGGTCCACGTGGATTCCCTCCACACCAAGCAAACTAAACCAAATATATTTTTGTGCCGGTCGAGCTTGACAACAACAGCAGTCCTGAGAGCCATCTGAATGAACCTCTCCAGCATGTTTAATGAAACTATTCAGCCGACAGGAGGGGGATGTTTCTCTGAAGGAAACTGCAGTTGAAGCGTGTCTAAGGGGACCAACATGAAGGAATGTACTACCGCTGGTCTCTGGTGGACTCACAGTGCCATCTAGTGGTCATATGACTCAGAGAGGTCGCGTCTTACCCTCCCCCCTTCTCCTTTATTGGACTGAACAAGGGGGATACAAGAGCTAAGAAACAAGGTGCAGGCCTTTGGCTTAACACAGCTGACAGGCTCTGGCTTCTGTTGACCAACAGAAACACTTTGCAAAATGCTAAATTCACTACTTCCACAGGTTTTTAACTCAAAGCAACCAATGAAATCTTAAATAAAAGTAAAACAGTCTAAAAGGAAAGCATTATATGTAATTTTTTTATGTTAAGTTGAACTCTTTTCATGTTTACACTCATTACTCAGTCCCACTCTTTTCTTTATACAAGCCAAACGGGGAAGTGTATATCTTTTGCATTCACCCATTAAAAGAAGACTACAGTGTAACGTAGCCTCATGCAAATAAATGAAAAGTTTGAGTCAAAGCAGGTTTGATTTTTGATTGATTTGCCACAACTTATATGTGACTTTAATCTTGACTATGTCCCAAACTAATGAGCATGCATATCATATTATCAGGTTACGCATCAGGATTTTCATATCATCTACAAGCACAAATCTTCGCAATTTGATATTCTGGGCATCTATCAAGGACACATCATTGAATTGAAAAGAACCTCTGTGTCATCTACTTTAAAAAAGAAAAGAATGAGGGATTTGTATTCAAGGACAGTTATTAATTTAGTCCCATTTCAGTCATTCTGCAGGCTAAAACCTGCTTGAAGGGTAGAGTGAAAGACAAAAAAGGAAGAAATTAAAGAACACTAATGGCTTTGTTTGCATATAAATCAACAAATTTTAGTAATAATCGAAGAATTACACTGAAACTAAAGCTCCAATGATGGTTTGCTCGGCAGTGTTTCAACCCTGCACTAAGTCAGACTCTCTGATCTGCTACAGCTTCACAGTAACTCACAGTTAAGACCAAGTAGCTTTAGATTTCATCCGTGAGACGGACAGAAAGTCGATACCCTAAGAGACAAAGTCCCCAACCCTCAGAGCCCTGTCACTCTGACTCCACCTCTCTCACTCCCACTTTCCCTCCTCCCACATTTTTATTGACATCTGACAAGACGGCATGCTTCATCCACTCTGGATGAAATACCTGCAGTTTCATTTTCTCATGAACAAATTCACAAATTTATCCGAGATAACAGAGGACATCATGAGGTAGTTCTAATCGGCCCGATTTTAATTCCTGCTAGAAATACCTCAGCTTTTAGTTTTTACTGTCAAGGCATTCACATTTAACGAACGATCCATTTACAAAATCGATGAAGAACAGCCTGAGATGGCTTGAAAAAGGAAGTAGATCTTCAAAAATATGTTTTAGTTCTGGTCGACCGTCACTGCAAAGAAATCCCAGGGTCATAAATCAAATAAAATACAGAGCTCACTGGTTTTACAAACTTGGTTTGGTGTGACAGACCATTAATAACATCTTTGTCAGGAAGAAATAAACAGCAGTTCATCCAGTCGCTCTCATGGCAGCTTGCAAAACTTTGTGTTAAAGACAAAAATTCCTTCTTTGCACCCTGAACGTTGTTCAAAACCACTCGGCCAACCAGGATGGGATCCATTTGCTGGGACGATTCTGGACAACACCCCTAATGTAGACTATATAATCTTAAGTCAAAGACGCAGTCAAAGATGCAGACAGGTAATATAGCACTCTGCTAGCTTTACAAACCTGCTTCTTTTTATTGATCCAATGTGTCCTGTGGATTTAGAGGAGATTTTCAAAGTAAAATACCCAAAATGCTGGATGGTTGTTTTAAAACAGCAAAGACTAACTATCTGCAACACTCCGCCTTACAAAAGATATAATACTGTGTGGAGTTTGAAGGTCAAGTTCATGCTTTTCATCAAGAAATTCGCCTCTTAGAAGATAAGATATGAATGTATAAAGAAGATTTAACCTTAAATTAAAAGTTGGGCTAAATTTACTGGAGTTTTTCAAAGTAAAACAAAATCACAGCCCTTCTCCATAAAAGAAAACAATACTAGAAAGATGGCTATTTAGTAGAAAAAAGACCCTTAAAATGAAAGATGATTGCATTATTGGAAAATCTCTTTCCATCCACTGTTTCCACTTTATTGACCAGTCTTTGTTCAGTCTGCCTCTTTTTTCTAAACTCATACTTTCTAAAACATAATATCTCTGACTGGCTCACACTTAATGACTACTTTTGTATAGTAGACGGCAGTTTCTCTAGAAATCAATATTTGATGTGCTTAATAATCGCCTCAAGCATCTAAAAACACTAAGAACTTGAATGTTTATTACCCATAATCTCCCCTACGCCCTTCAAAATCAAAGAGTAAAAGGTCAAAGCCTGCAATGTGATCAATCGAACCTAGAGCCTGAGGTCTGCAGCCACCTCTGCATACAATTAGAATGAATCATAATAGTTCCCTTTGTTCTAATTCTATGCACCTCTGTATAATTTATCCACTATTTGTATGCTACAGACTTACCCAGTGGGCATTGGCACCACTTTTGTCTCCACAAGGAGAGATCTACATGATCTCTAATGTTGGCAAGCCAACAATGAGGTTTGACCCACAAATATCATGCATGTTTAAAGTGTTGTTCAAAAGGTCCTCTCTGCCTCAGCTAATTTTTGCTTTCTTGTGAAGTACAGGAAAGAAATAACGAACAAACACAGGGCAATCAACAAAACGCACCATCCAAACAGCATTCGGACATTTTATCCTCATTGACTTCCCAATTATCACAATAACATGTAAACAAGGGGGAAAACAGGGGGGGGGGGAATAAAAGGAGAAGAGAGGACTCTCTGAACGTGGTTGAAAGGATCGTGTTCCGGCACGGAAAGAGCCACAGCCAGGCCAGCCAACTCACTATGTCACAATGTAATAGCTCTATGTTTCTCGTGTACCTGTGTGTGTACCGAGCTTGGCTCAAATTGCAGTCTGAGATTGATTCAGAAGCTTTTCTAGGTTTTATTGATTGTGTCCAGCACAGTGGACTGAACCAGGAACGTCCCTGCAGGTGCCAGTCTTGTCCGGACAGCTGAAAGCAATCACTCTGAAAAGATTTCAGTGGAATTCGATCCAGGCCTGGTGTGTATAGACATAGCTGGAGCCGTTTTCTGACAGACTTTCTTTTCAGTACAAAAAGAAAGAGAGAAAGATTATTCCCTCTCCGGGAGCTTTTTGGATTTATGTTAAAGATTAAAGGAAAAATCCCAGAAATGCTACAGCAGTATATAGAAACTCAGAAAGGGATGACAATGCGCTGTATCTTGTGTTAGCTGACACATTTTCTTACCTGGTATGAATCATTTTACATTTTCAAGGAATTATGTGTCTATACAGAGACTCAAGGAATGTTCTGACATTATGAGAAATGGCTAGCATAAACACTGGAAGCAGAGTGAACCTGCTAGCCTTAGCAACACAGCTGAATAATACATAATCTGTCATTTATTATTTATTTAAAAAACCCAACAAGTAGAAGTATTATAAGAACTTCTTTTGTGGCCACAAATTGTGAATTATAGTTTTGAAATTTCAGTAGCACCTTGGTTAAGCTAACTAGCTAGCAAATATTAGTTACTCCATGCTAGCACTTGAAGACAGGTCTGACATGCTAGTGCTAATGGGGGTTCATTTCGTAATTTTTATGATTTTTTTATGATGATTACATCAGAATCTCCTCCTTTTGGTATAAAATGATGCACTATGCCAGACTTCATTTTGCTGTAAGTGCATATTTTATAATGCATTATGATTAAATAGTATATTTGAATAACACCTGGCACATAAGCCGGGATTATACTTTGCATGTCTGCAAGTAATTTCATCATCAAACAGTGAGTGCAAGGGTCCATGTGGATGTCCCTGTGCTTGCATGCTTTTTGTAACAACTCTGACTTATCCGAGGAGAAATTGCATGCCAACTATGTAAGCGCCTCAGGTGGCAGACTTCAATCAGACTCTAAAGAGGTATAACAGGAAAGACTACTCAGTCATCAGGTGTCCACAGTGGAGTATACTCAAGAGCTTAACCTTTTAACATCCTCCTGGGATCCATCCTTATGGTTGCAATATACACACAATTAATAAATTAATTTTGGCATTGCAGGTATTAGTGTTTGCATTTCTTCCAAATAGGCAGAAATTCTATAGAAAAACTTTGACTTTAACATATCCCTAACCCTACTCTCTAGCATCACCAGATTTAGTGGCTGTTAAAAGGTTAGAAAATAACATTTTTCTATTTTCCAGCAACTTATAAAGAACAGAATATCTATTCTGTTTGGCAGTGTACCCTGTTCATCACGAAGGAGAAGAAAAAGCACTAAAGCCAACCTTAGCAAGCCTTGATTATTTAATATTATCCTGATTCTGTTCGGACTCCCTTTGGCCCAGAAAATATCATCCTGACACGGAGTCCCTTTTCTGGTGTGATGTAAGCATGTAGCAAAAAGATCCTCTGCGCTTTTACGTCAGTTCTCAATATTTCAGTCCAAACATAGCGCTGGACAAGACTTTTGAAACGCCAACTCATATGAGCACATCGTATTGTGTATATTAATATCAAATCAAAAACAGCAACAAAGTCAAATGCACATATTTCCCAGAATGTCATTATCTTTACTTTTCTATCTCACGGAAATAGCAATAAATTGCTGCAATTAAACACAAAATAATTCCTGACATCATTTGGAAGGATGTCAAAGAGAACCCCAGGAGCTCGCAACATGTTACAGTTTTCAGATAAAAATGCATTTGAAAAAATGCTAATCAGACTTTTCAGCAGAGCTTTTTCAAAGGTACTCTGGTTGATCTTCCCAAACATGCAACTCTGTCACTAAACGGCTCAGAAAGTAGCCAGGATGTTCAAGAGTCTGACAAACCCAGCAACTCTAAATCCAACTTCATTGCAGACGACATTCGTTCTCTAGCCCCAAATTTAAACACCCCCTTTGATGCTGGTTTGCATCGACACAGAAACCTGGTTTGTCTCATTCTTGTATTATCCGGCGCTCGTGTGTTTGAACTTTTTATGCGTTGAACTTTTTTGTGTTATGTAGTGGATCTTTTTTTGGTTTTTTTATACCATTTTAATTGTGAATGTTTGTCTATGACACATTTTTATGAGTTTTTACAATTTATGTCACCATCCACATGATGTTTTTTTTCTGTGTGATGCTGCTATTTATTTATTAAAATATTATTCTAATGTGAGGACAATTGTGTTATTTGTACATTTAGCCACATTTGAATCCATCTTAATGGAAAGCAGCCTGTTTTTGGTGCTTTACTGATGGGCTATAACTAGCTGAAAGTTCTCTTCTGAACTTGTGATTGTTTGATTGTTGGAGTTTCTCTCTCTATTATTGTAGGCTCTTAATCTAACAATATAAAGCGCCTTAAGGCATCTGTTCTTGTGACT